GCCGATCAAGTTAAGTTATGTTGGCGGATCTTCGGATGTATCGAAGAGTGAGATCATCATACCTACATATGTGAAGAGCAGAGCATCCCCGGTGTTTCTCCCTTTCGTCATCATTGAAAATATGAAGTCGAAAGGAGACCGGGAGATCATTCTAGGGAGGTCAGCTCTCTGTGACTTGAATGTCACTTTGCAATTCAAGGGGAGCTCGAAGAGATCCGCACGGTTAAAGAAAGCGTATTCCGAACGGAATAAGTCGAGTGGAGACGGTGTAGCGGGTGAACAGACCTCCGAGAAGATGCCTGAAAGTAATTGCATTCGAGTCCGTATTGACTACGTTACCAAAGAGCCATTCGTCATCCCAGACGATTTTGATGAAGTTGAGGAACCCCCATCACCCAATCCGACTAGACTGGCTTGGATGGAGAAGAGAGTAGCTGAATCTCTTCCCCGCCATCCGCCCGCGGTTGGTCAAGGAGAAGATCGGTTGAACACCTATGCCGTCCACTGCTTGAAAGCCGTGGCTAAGGAAGGGTGGATTCCGATAAGTCAGGGATACGAGGGGAGACTCAGTCTCCGAGACTGATTGACGCCGATCATGAGAAGCTACAGGGGACCGACAACAATCAGCAACGATTTCAAGTTCAGCTTCGCTGGCGAGTAAACAGTGAAGACGTCGCTACCATGAGAAGACCATGGAACTCTCAGCGTCTCATCAATAAGTTGACACCGCAACAACGGAGGGATTGGGATGCTGAGATTGCGGCCTATCAGAATAAGCAGTGGTGGTTCCCTACTAATTCCCCCCCGATAACCTCATGAGCCTCTGTGCGGCCGGATTTCCAGTGGTCCAATCAGCTGAGAAGACGACACGGACACGTCCATGCATCGATCTGAGGCTACTCAACTCATGTAGCCCTAAAGTGTCGAGCAATATGATGAGTGTGACTCAGGCAGTCCAACGGTTGCGGTCGCGGCTCGACTTTTCTGGGGACTTGACCGTACGGCAGTTCGATCTCAATAAAGCGTTCTATAGTGTTCGTGTTTCACCCCAGTTGGACGGGAAGACCATGCCAATCCTAATACGGGTAGGAGACTCTTATTATGAGTCCTGCTGCCTCGTGTTCGGACTAGCGTGTGGACCACTCGGGCTGAATTTCGCCCAAGAAGTAACCTCTAGGGTTTCCGAGCGCATCGCCGAGTGGCTCATCGGTGACAAGAAGTTACTACAACGCTCTGGGTGGATAGTAGTCATGGACGACTTCTTGTGTGTGTCACCTCTATCAATCGCCGATGAGTTGCAGCAAATATCATTGACGGTATGGAATTTGAGCGGATTCAATTGTACTGAGGATAAACGCTCCGTCTGGGATGCATCAAAGCCCTCGAGATGGCTCGGCGGGCACTGGTCCTTCGATATCGCTCGAAAACGGCAGATATTGGCTCGCCCAAAGTGCCCAGATAGTATCGATGTTACCACTAAGCGGAGTTGTTATAACGCCGCCGGCGGATTTGTGGCTATCACATTAGGCTACTGGGAATCCCTCGCGAGAGCTCACTGTGATTGTATTCGCAGATTGAGTGGGGGGTGGCCTAGCTGGGATAGCGTGTGCGGTGAGAAGAGGTCGTTGAGAGAGATTGAGGCTCACTTCCAGTGTGCAGCAGCATGCTGGAAGTTATGTACACTTGAAGACGATGATTTATTGTTATTTTCAGAGTTAAGTTGTATCGACCTTTATACAGATGCTTCGTCATCGGGTCACGGCTTCTTCGCCGAAGATCCGGATTCTCATAAAATAGCATGTGCCGATGTTAAGTCTTTTACAGCCAAGCATAGAGAAGCTTGGCACATTAATAGGAAGGAGCTGGTGAGCACTACCCATTGTATTCACAAGATCGATAATCTTTTAGAATGCTTACCAGCTTTACGTCGTGTAAGATTGTATTGTGATTCGAGGGTTGTAACGACCCAGCTGAATCCTTGGGCTACAGCTGCAAGTAAGTCTGTCGAAAGACGGGCTATAGCACGCCTGAGGAACACTATTATGGAGATTAATTACTCGTGGCGACGCATGGGCATCGATTTACAAGTCTATCACATAAGCGGACAATCGAATTCGAAAGCAGACCGGTTGTCTCGCGTGAATGAAGAATCGAAGCCCGTATCTATTGAAAGCGTCGAAGAGGAGTGGCGCTACGAGGTCACTCCAGTGGGTCTTGTGTCTTCAGCGGAGATTCGATCTAACTTTCTTATTGAGAAACTTGATTCACTATTACCCCATATCATTGTACCGAGTTTCCGACGATTCGTAAACTTTCATGAAATCTTTCTATCGTGGCTTCAAGTTGTTCGCGACAAGCACACTGTAGGTGCTACAGTCGCAGGTGAAGCTGAGATCGAAGCTACCGATGATCTACGCCTTAAATGGCTGAAGTTCGAGCAGAATAGAGATCCAGAATGTCGTGACGCTATTGAGAAGTTGACTCAGAACCCTACCGCCGGCGATGAAGTGATGGCTTCTGGTTTCCTCTATCGCCTTTTCTTGACCCCATTGCGTCTGTTATGTCGGAAGGTACCGGTGAGAAAGGCTGCAAGTAGCAAGAATGAATATGTATTCCAAGTAGTTCTACCACGCGGACTTCTCCGAGAGCTTGCTACATTGGTCCACTACCAACTCGCTCACGCGGGCTTTCCCGAGGTTATGCACTTGGTATCAAAGTGCATGTGGTCTCCACAGATCAGGAGGATCTTAAAGTCTGTCGTGGGGACATGTGACTACTGCCTCAGGACCGTCAACCGTCCTACTGATATTAGCGAGCCGTCGGGCCCTATAGCTATCCCTGAGAGGCCCTATCAAGTTATCGGAGCTGATATTTACGGGCCATTAACACCCGATAAAGTGTATATCCTTACGATATGTTGTAGGTTGACGGGTTGGGTACAGTTTAGCGTGCTTCCTGATTGTAAGGCACGCACGGTGAGTGATGAGTTTGAGCGTGTGGTGCTTTGGTCGTGGTCTTCTAATACACAGGAATGCTGGAGTGACCAGGGCGCGCAATTTACGCGTTCTCCGTATTTCCTGTCAGTATGTGTGATGTGTGGTATCAAACATCGAGTGCTCCCCCCAGCAAGCCCTTGGGCAGGAGGCTGGTGGGAGACTCATCATAGGTCCCTCGGGAAGTGCTTAAGGGCCATGGCTTTGCAGACACCATTGAAAAGTTTGTCTACGATGGTCGCTATAGCCCAGAACCGTCTCAATGCCAGCACTACCGGTGGTTCGAGGCCGTCTGCCTACGAGTTGATCTACGGCTGGCAAGCCAGTGTTCCCGTCGAGGGGCTGCTCGATGTTCGTGACTCGGCGAGGCAGCGTTGGGAGGAATTACGTCCCAAGTTCATTCCAGCCGATCCTATCTTTCAAGGAGCGGTCGCCAGTGAAGCTGCCTTACGATCTGAAAAACGTGCTTATCAACTCTCTGTTTTCAGAGAGATCTGGCTGGACAGGAGAGAACAATCCTTCAGGACTGTTCAGAAGAGACTACGCGAGTCGAAGAAGCGTAGGTACGACTTGAATGTCGAAGACCGTGTATTGCTGACTAAACGTCGTAAGACCAAGTTGAGCCCGATTGTGCAGGACGAGCCATTCGTTGTAAAACGTCGTGTTGGCAACCAGACCTTTGCTCTTGTGCCAGAGAGCGATCCTGGTGCTCCTGAAGTGGTCGCTCACCTACGCAACCTACGAAGATATCCCGGTACGAGTGAAGAAGTAGAGTCTCGTATGCCTGGCGCAGCAGATGCCTCCGCAGCCCTATCACAGCCTCCAAGTCCTAATCAGGATCGAGTGGAAGAGGGGAGTGTTGAATCCAACTCCCACTCTCATGTGTTGAAGCCCCGCCGTGCTATCCATAAGGGTGATCGTGAGCTCAAATTTCTCTCGAAGATTGAGGGTTCCGTTTCGAAATATGGACGCTCACGAAGGGGGGCGAAGTTGTAAGAGTCCACACGTCGTGGACTTGCAGTTCGTTAAGGAGTGACGAGATGGCAAGATTTCATCTTATAGCGTGTAGAGAAGAGGCTCCGCTTAGGAGTCTATAGTCGATGATGTATTGAGTGTTGTCGTGACGATGTAGCCATCTTGGCTCAAGCTGTCTCGTTTACCAATGTCCTCGTTGAGTTCGACTAGTCCGGTGCATCACCCTCATGCGGCCCCGTCCACAAGGCTAGCTGGCAACTATTAGCTGTCGCTATGAAACATTGTATGCCTTTGTGCATCTCTGCAAGAATACAGAGTAGCTGTCGCTATCATGGCGACGCTATTCAGCATTTTAAACCCGTATACTCCTCTGCAAGACGGTGGGGCATACCTTGCTTTGTGACGTGAGCTGGTATCCCTTTGAAGAGGACACGGCACCTCTCCCCATGCATCGTCATGAGTTTGCGGCGCATTTATGAGAAATGCGCAAACCTTGCGCATTTCTCACGAGGCTCAGCGATATCTGGTAGATATCGCTGAGCCTCAAGGGCTAAACACTAAGCGACCTTTTGAGTCTGGAAGGTCGCCCGCCTTGAGAGTTTACGGATGCTGATGCCGATAGGCGGCACCGTGCCTTAGCGTTGTCACGGTTGCATTACACTACCAGACGTGACTATCATCACGCCGTGATTCGAGTACGGCACGGGTTGCACGGTTGATGTGGAACTCAGACGCTGAGATATCCTGGTTCCATCAACGAGTACTCAAGCAGAGGCTGCCCTCAGGAGCTACTTTACGCTGCCCATCGAGACATCCTTTGCAAGCTTCACTGTCGGAATCTTACGTGCCGGGTAACGAAAACAAGATGAGTGTCATCGTAACATAATGTAACTAATATTGTTATTACGTAACATCCCCGCGATCTATCCCCAACCGCGCCT